ATATATAAAAACATATATGTATGAATATAACTATTTGTACAAAGTTTAACTTCAGTTGTATATGCTGTATATTAATAATATATGTGTATTATATCTTTATAAATGTTAACATTTGTCCTCTATAATATAAATGCATTTAGTATATACTCACGTCAGTCTTTAATAACCATAATTATATAAACGCGTTCAATTAGTTTATAATTATTCAACTCGGCGTTTAATCAACTTGTCAGCTTTCTATGAACGAACTTGGCTCAAGTGCATTCAACTACGATCTCTCGCATTATTTAGTATCAATTTGCAATCTCTCTCATGTATGTTTTTACAACTTTAAGCAGCCTTGACAGTTGTGTTTGCTACCCTAACTAACTCCCAGCCGCAAAGCCACAGTCCATCCACATCTAACACACAAAAAAAAAAAAAAAAAAAAAAAAAAAAAAATTGCAATCTAAAAAATTGTGCAAGTTTTTCAACCAACTGTGATAGCTGCTGTAAATGCAGCTAGAAGCTCATAAAGCAGTCGCTGTTCAAATAAAAATCAGCAGTTTGTCAGTCAGTCCGTCAGTTAGTTCGTCTCTCTCCATCTCTCTCTTTCTCTGTAGGTCTGTCTGTCTGTTTGTTGTACGCGTCCTTCAGCTAAATTTCTCTTCGTGCTTGTGCATATTTTGCAAAGAGTCCACGCTGCAAGGCAGCCCAATGGGCCAGGCGACCACGCCCCCAAAACGGTGTAGCCTTTGGGGACTAGCAATAGCTCCCTAGCCAAGTCGCTCTCTCTCTCTCTCCCCCATCTCTTTCTCTCTCTCTGTATGTGCATAAATTTCAGCACAGCATATTCTACAGGCATTCAACTGACCTCATCCCACATCCTGCCCGTTCTGGCCCGCCCCCTGCTCATCTACCGTCCCACACACACACACTCACACACACACACACATATTCGTTTGACATTTTTTGCCATAGCTTTTTAGCCGCCAGTTGACTTTTTACTTCTTTAGCTCTGGGCCAATGCGCTGTTGTTGTTTATTTATTTTGTTTGTGTTTTGTTTATTGTTTATACCCTGAGCGTCTAGGAAATTGGACAAGCGGGTGTACTATGTATGTGTAAGAAATGAGCTGTATATCGTAGAATGAACGAGAAGCTAAATTGATCTAGAAGCTTTGAGCGTCTAGAGTTACGTATGCCTGCCAGTCGACTATTTTGATTGTGGCTGTGCATTTTGTTACATACATAAATAAAGAGCTCGAAATTTAAAGTCTGAATATATTTGGTATTCAGGTTTAAGTAAGAGTAGAGTATATGAGAGTATTCGAGTATTCGTATCAGTTTTAAGTCATTCAGCTGTAGCTTGGCATAGATGATAGAGTATTTATTAGTCTATCACTTCGTATTTTCTTACGTCCATTTGTTTTTGTTTGTTTGTAGTTTAGATGTTTTTCTTCGACTGTGCATCTGATGCTCTCTCTCTCTCTCACACTCTCTCTCTATCACTACCATCTCTCTTTATTTTTTCTGGTTTGACTTTTTGTTTTCGGCTCACTTGAGACCATTTTAAGTGTTTGCTATATTTGTTTTTGACATTTTTCCTCATTCCAAAAGAGAAAAAAAAAAAAACAAAGATCTAAAATTTGTATTTCATATGCTGCAGTCACTTGAGAGTGAGTTTCATTCTTTTCATTTTTTCTGCATTGGGGATTGTTTCTCTGTTCATCTATATGCATATCTAGGGGTAGAATTCCCACAGTGTGTGATGCTTATCAAGTTTTGAGCACAGTCAATAGGCATTCGGCAGCCGATAAGCATCAGCTGGGAGGTACTACTGTGCTGAGTGGGGGGTATATAATTTCCTCAGAATTCTATACATCTGATATGTATAGATCTTTGATTTCCCAGACCCTCTCTAGTTCTAAGTAATTGCTTTCAATGTATTATTAGCTTGACTCATGTTTCAATTTACCTTTTTCTTCTTCTTTACAGGTAAGTTCACAACAAAGTGTTCACAATTATAACGGCATTGGCGAGACACAGCTCTAAGTTCTAGACAATGTGTCATGGATCGTTGGCCAAAAAAATGAATGAAAAGAGAGAACAGAGATCGTAAGTCAAAGTTGAACAGACTCAGAAAACCGCAGAGATAGCAAATTCCAGATCTTACTAACCAAAAAGCACTTGACGTGTATGTGTTTAATTAAAATTGTATAGCCAGATATGCTATATACATGTATATATATTATTCTGATATGGGGGCAGCACTTGCGGCTTCTCTGTTGTAACCGCAATAAAAGTGGAAAACAAAATTTAATTTGAGCGCCACATTTTGCTGTCGTTGACTTTTACGCGCTGCTGCTTGGCGGCACTGAACCACCAGCAACAATAACAACAGCAGAAACAGCAGCAACAGCAGCAACAACAACAACAACAATTAAGCAACTACATAGAGCAACAATAACTTTTAGCCTAGACTCATTTGGCCAGCTTTATCTATGCAAAAAAGCGTTCGCATCGTTCGCATCCGCCAAATCCGTTGTGAATTTATATCGTAATTACAATGCAGAAAAAAGAGGAGAAAAAATAATGTTATAGCTCTGCCACGCCCACTGCCGCCCTTACCGTCACTTAGACAACACGCCAAGGCTTAACGGTCTAATGCCCTTTTGTAGGCATTGCACTTTGTCAGCCGTTTTACTTATGTTAATTCCGCAAACTTTTCTCGAAGGTGCGCGATAAAAAACGCACAAAAAACGCGTATAAAACGCGCGCGCGCATCTCCAACTGCAGCAAATAATTGAAGCGTGGCTGCTTTTAGGAATGAGTCAACAGGTTTTAAATTAATGCCGTACAGTAAAACTTCTACCCAGCTACTTCACTTCCTCTACAGTGAAGCCCATCCCTGCTTGACATTACAGTAAAACCCCTGACCAAGCCCCTAATGCCATTTATGGCATATTAAAAATTGTGTAATTTGTCGAGTGTGTGCGCCAATGAACCCTCAGTGGTCTAATATATTCCATTATCATTATTATTATTATCGTTATTGATATAAGCAAATTTAATTAATTAACATTTCAGTGCAGTTCAAATGGCTTTGGCTAAATGTAGTTCATTGACCCAGCAGCTGGTTGTTGACTTGACGCAGCTATAGGTGTGCGTGTGTGTGTGGGCATGTGTAATTGTGTGTGGGGGTGTGCGCATTTGTTCAGCATAACTTGTGCGCCACTCGGCGTATACTTAACATTGCAATTACTCGCGTCTTTATATGCAAAAACAAAAAACAAAGTTGAGCAGCTAAGCGAGAAGCCCACAAAAAGTATAAACTTGCGACAACAACAACTAGAAGACATATCAAATGAAAACCTAAAAAGGTTAAGGTCTAGAGCGTGAAGTACCCTGTAATAGTTGAAACTTTTTAGAAGGAGAATTTAAATTCAATTTTCGTTTTGATTATGCAGCATGAAGTGACACGAAGATATGGACAGTTATGCTGAAACGCTTTATGAATTATAAATAAAAGCTTGAAATTTGTAAAGGAAATTAAAGACAAGTCACATACTATAAAAGAAAGCCTAATGTAAGTTCTCTTGGATAAAATTCAGTTGAAGCCCTACTGATATATGACAAAACTCAATGAGAATTTTAAATGAAAGTCTTATAAGAAATATATGATATATGTATATATTTTCAATGTAAGCATAAACATTTATATTAAATTATACTTCAAATTAGTCATATAAAGAAAAGTCTGATATAATTTTCTAAACTGAAAGTAATTAAAATTATTGTAGGATTTGATTAACAGTTATATAATATATTATATAACA